TTGTTTATTGGTTTATAAAGTGTAATTAAAGCTTGGGTGAGAATAAGTGGATCCTTTCTTGGGCATCAAATAGTAACTTTTGGTCTTTCAATCTTGATAACGGTAGTGTACATTTTCTCCTCTTAAATTTTAAGAGACTTCATAGAGAATCATTGCTTTGATTCATAAAGATGAATCCTGATATTGTGGTCAGACAGAGTATTCTTGTGGTTCATCCAAATCTCTATATTCATTTATTGCTTTAAACATTCCAAGATAAGTTAGGTTTTTGCTAGATTCCACAATCTATTTAGTGTGAAAGAAGAACTATTAGTATTCTTGTAAATATGTCAGTTAGAGTCAAACACTCAATCTAAACACCATTTCATCTTGATCATTCAGAGCATAGGGAGAGCTTATCGAACATATATGGATTATATGCATCAAACCACTAGAGGTAGATGTCGGACTATAATAGTTTCTCAATTCGGTTACAATAGACATGAGATTGAGATCGCAGGTATAGGTTTACTATTGGTTGTGAGATTGACTGACATAACCTTTAGATTATGCTTTCGGGTAATACATTTCCTCCAATTCAAAATCTGAAAGTTTTCCTCAAAATGTTTCTTGAAGTTTAAAATCAATGGTAGAACGAAATCAAAGTTTGGCTCCCATCAAGATTTTAAAGATCTGATAATGGGGCTGAATTTACATCCTATCAAATCAATCGCATTGCAAGAAGCTGGCTACAACATCAATTAGACATGTGAGCTTACACACCTCAAAAATGGTGTAAGTGAAAAGAAAGATCGATTACTGGTGATGAAATCATGGGCAAGATGTTCTCTTGTTTGAGAAAAATCTATCTAACAAATGTGATTTTTGGGCTCGAAGCCTCGTAACATCTACTGTATATCTTCAAATGCGGCTTCCAAAAACCTTTCGAAAGCTAGGTTTGCGGTTCCACCATGGCGAAGGGTTTTGGTATTGGAAGAATCTGGTTGGAGAGCATATATTTAATATCTTTATTCCAAAACCGGGAAAAGAGGGAAATTGGAATCAACGAGCACTGAAAAAAGGAATTTAGTAGGCTAACAAGCAACGTGAATAACGCAAAGCTACAGGAAATTTTTGAAATCTGTTACTCAAACAGGTGTAATTCAGCAGGAGTTGTCAAATTCGATGAAAAAAAGGTGAATGGGATATAAGGGAAGAGAGAAGAAAATGTGCAGTACGGGAAGAACCAGAATATCCAATCAAAGATATACTCATTTGAAATTTTCTAGCGATAGAAGCAGAGAACTTCCAGTTGACACGAAGTAAAGAAATTCCACACCATATAAAATAAACATCAATGAACGATTTATATTCACACACACCAACTTATGACAACTAATCCTAGAAGGGATATACTTCCAGGCAGTATGCTAAATAGTATCATAAAGTAAATTACTGTAGAACACATTACATGCAGGTGGAGAGTGACAAGGGTTGAAAGAACTGCCATGAGTACGAAGAAGACAAAAGTACGACATGATGTGACCTGAAGATGCACCTACGTCGCAAAAGCAGACACATGGAGTTTTAATATTTACTATCACATTGAATACGAGATATATTAGGGAACAAATGGGTATTACAAAAAAACTCTCGAGCAAATTTAAAAACGGAAGGAATCAAATAAGAGGGAAAGAGCCAAGATTAATAATTGTCATAAAAAAAAGGAAAGAATTTGCTTAACTCGACTAACACAAATGGGGGATCTTTAATCCGCCAGCTTCACTCCTTTTCGACTAAAAAACAGAAGAGAGGTATTAACATTTACAAGAATTAGCAGCTTATTACCTCCATGCAGATTTATACAAAATAAATGCAGTTCTAGAGTGCAACTTATCGTCTATAATAAGTATGAGAATAAGGCAGTCCTTGGTCAATGGAGAGATATTGTTCAGCTATCTCAACTTAAATGGTTTTGAAGGAAACAAGTGTATACAAGAGTGCACAGAACTGACCGAGGTGTACTTTGAAGTGAATACGTGAGCATACGAGATAGATTGTGTTAATATTGTGAGAAAAGAGCACACATGATATATTTATTAAAACAGGCTTCAAAGGTGTATGCAAGATGATCATAGTACTTTAGATGACATATCTAGGGTTTTAACGAACATGGAATGACGCAGGGAAAATTTATGGCATATAAAAACAGCGAAATGAATGAGACTATAAATAGAGTGCTTTCCTGTGCATTACGAAATCTGAGGGGCGGATCTACTTGTCATTTTGGTAAACAATTTACATAATTAGTTACAAGAGAATATAAAAAAAAAATAAAGAGCAGCATAGCAGGTTTTTGAGAAGATACGAGATGGGTTCGGTTTACATGTATTCTCTTGGGACTATTTTGAGAACACTAGCTCAAGATAAAGATTATTTTGGGGCATTACAAGGAAGCAAGGGATTTTTATTTCACAAAGAAATTTGCTTAGGGGAGCTGCAAAAAAAGAGTTATGGAACCTCTAGACAAATCAAACGCAGTGAGTACACATATGCAGCCCATTTGGAATAAAATTGCAAACTTGAGGATTTTTCTGAGCTAATAATAAAGAGAGACAAAGGATCGAACATTTCACATATTTTAGCTCCATTTGGGTTGGTTTTGTGCTGTATTTATTGTAAACAAGACCAGAATCATTGTTCTCAACAAATTTAATGGTCGAGATCATATGAATCTCGCAACTGAAAAACATCTTACAGCAGCCAAACGAGTTTGAGATATGTGCGAGGAACTGCTTAAGTTTGGTTTGCTTTTTTATAGAGAAATTAATGGTGGATGTTGTTGGGGTTTCTCAGACGTATTGGCTGGGTTCATTGGACGATATGAAGAGCACTACTGTTTTTGTTTTTTCACTTGGTTTGCTTGTCATTCTGGGGACAAGAAAGCGATGCTCATTGCTCAATCAACTGCAAGAAGACAATTAGTATTTGCAGCATTTGCTGCTGTAAACCACTATATGGTTGGAGAAAGGTATTGTTTGATCTGAATTTGTAGCAAGAAAATCCAACTAAATCTTTTGTGAACAAAATCACTATTGGTATGGTTAAAATCTAATCTCCATAAAAACCAAGCATATCAAAATCAAGTATCATGCAATTCGTGAAGCTGAAAAGGAAAATGAAATTCAGATTATTCATTGCAATTCTGAAGACCAAACAGCGGATATTTTCACCAAGGCATTGCAAAAACCAAGATTTGAATTTCTTAGGAATAGACTTGGTGTTTGTCTCAACTCTTGTATCAAGGAGGAGTGTTAAAGTTACAGCTACAGCTATTGATGCAAGTGTTGTTGACAATTTTTGAAGGTATTTTGTTAAAGTCATTTAGATTTTGTTGTATTTTGTTGAAATCAAGAGGTAGGTGCTACCTTGCTTTTAGGTAGGTTTAGTGAACAAACCTCCTTGACTTATGGAAGTTGGTGACAATTCTTGAACTAGCTCTACTATAAATGTTTCATTAATTAATTGTTTCTTCACACTCACAAAATCTGCAGCTTTTTCTTTTTCTGCAGAATTTCCTTCTCTTCCTTAATTTTCTGCTCTTCTAAACCAACACAAATGGCCCTTTGGTTTTTTATGCTTTAAACACATTTCAGTAGCAAGCCAAGGGCTTCAATTCATATCCGGCTCTCAGGCCAACATGATTACTATGAACAGACACACTGACTTATTGGATATAGGTATAAAGTCCCTTTAGCTTGGTCTTTCATCATTAACAGTATACAAGAATCCATGATTGCTGTCAGCTTATTCCACTAGATTGATTATTGATTTAACCATTAGAAATCAGTCACATTTACTTGTAAGTTGAAATCGAACTCATTGCAAATTTCTACTTACCCAAAAAGCCTCAAATTATTTTCATCTAACTAGTGCATGCCTTGAACCTTACAGATCCATTTATTAGTTTGACAGAAATAGTCTTTGAAAATAAGTACCAACATGCAATGAGGAGTTGAGTGACTCATTAAGACGTGAACTCCTAATTGGCTTGAGGACCACATAAGCTTTTGAGATCTCTGAAAATAAATTGAAATATTTAAAATTATTAGACCAGAAAAGTTTTAAGTGCCCTTGTGTCCTCAAATTCATCCTCAGGATAAATTGGAAGGCGGTTCAATGGAGGTAGCAGATACAGTGTAACAGGCCATAAGTGATAAAACAAAAGTTCCCATCCCAACTTTCCAAAGAATGGTTAGATATGGAAATTATCCACATTGCAACTACCCAATTGGCAGCTGGAGTCTAACCTTAGGCAGAAATCAGATAATGTAAGATGCCAAAAGGCAATGTCAGTTTGCAAAGATATAGAGAATTGAGATCAAATTACAAAGCACACATACATGAACATCAACGGTGCTCAAAATCACACAGTAACCCAAGCCAAATGGTTATTAGAATTTATGACCCACAAATTGTTGAACTATTATGACCCAAAAATTGTTGAATGACAACCACCATTTTATAATTTGGATACCGCTAGTTGAGGATATGCGACGAGTTTTAGGATGTAATAATTGGCAATGCAACCAAATGTATGCATCGTACAGTATCTACGCGTTACTTGGACCATCTACTGTACCCATCAGAAAAGGATCCCCATCATCCACTAACTCCACCACAACCACTGACCAGTCTGGAAACAGAGTACAACTCCCACATGGTGTTTTAGACTACTTTAATCAAATCAACATTTGCACCTGAAACTACTAGTAACGGAGGAAGATGTCAACAAAGAACAATTAAGATAAGTGAGCCTCAGGCAACATTAATTAATTCCGAGAAACTATTATTAAGTCTTTGTAGCTCAAGAGATTTAAAAGTGAAAGTAATATGGATAGGAGACACACTCCAACTACAAAAGGAGGCCATTTTGTTCTCTTGAGACGATTCTTAAAGAATGGAATCCCTAAAATATACATACATACATGATTCAACAAGACAAAGGAATCTGATCTTACCTGTATTGAAACTCTGAACCCCACTAGCATTCCATCAATACCTGAGCCAGCCTATTCAAGCATGAATGTCAAAAATTAGATCATCAACAATAAATTCAAAAGAAAAAAAAAATCTGCTACCCTTCTGTAAGGTTAAAGCATCAGCATTATGTCTAACAGGCAAAATACCAAGTTTTAAGCCATCAAAAATAAAATAGCAAGCAACGGAGTGATTCTTGGTTCCAAATTCTGAAATCATACATCAGGATTTAGCGGAAACTATTAACAGGGAGCTTCATGCCCAATCCCACACAATAAAAGCAAGCGAAATTGCTGTTGCGATGATCAGATACCGTCTATATGAACGGAAGCAAATACAAACGCTTGAAGAAGAATGAGTTTAGACCAATTATCACTATTCCAGTTCACCTGAAGACTAAAGAACAGGATTTAGTGAGTTACTATTTAATCCTATGATTTTATATAACTATATAATTCAAAATTTTTATTTTCCAAAATTAATTAGATAGTCCCAATCTTTTCACAACAGTGTACAAAATAATAGTCTCATTTCCACTTTGAAATTGATCTTCTTATTAACTTTTCTATAATACCCTTATAATATAATCTGTACCGATGATTAATATACATAAAATTACTAAACATTTCTACTTTTTTAGAAGGATAGAGTACCTCTATTTTATTGTAGTTAATTAAATAGTCTTTTTTTTTTTTTTTTCGTTAAACTGTGTTTTGCATACCACCACCATCATGGAAAATAAATTTTAATTTATAAATAAAAATTCATTAAAAATAATAATTCATTTACATGTTTAGATAAAATTATCTGATAAAATTTGATAATAAAATTTGGTTTCTTTTTGCTCAAGTTTATGTTTGATGATGCCCTTGAGCAAAAAAAACCAAATTTTATTATGAAACTTTATCTGATAATTTTATCTAAATGTTAAGAGCTTAGTGGTAAGGTAATTTAATTGATACGTAAGAATCATGGGTTCAATACTGTTGATCCATATAAAAAGTTTGCTGATAAAAGAAATGTTTTTTTTTTTTTAAATTAATTTACAAAAAAATAGCAACATCGTAGTCGAAATGGTACTACTTAATTAATATTTACTCACTGAATAAATACTATTCTCTTTATCCCAAAATATAAATTGTTTTTGACTTGTTATTTTATCCTAAAATATAAGTCGTTTTTTGTATTTCAAGAAGTAATAAATTATGTTTTTTCAATATTACCCTTATTTGCACTAAATGTAATAAAATGCTTCACAAGCAATTATTAGTTTTGAGATAAAAAATAATTTGATCAAATCACCCTTGAATTTGTTATAATCTAAGAGAATTAATTGTTTTCTTAATCTTGTACAAAAACCTTAAACGACTTATATTTTGAGACAGAAAGTAGTAATCATTGATTAGAACTTCCAGATTCTTGTCCAAAACATGAGCAAAAATGATTTTTGTACTTAATTATTTTTTCAGATTAATCTTCTTTTTTTTTTTTTTTCAAACCATGGAAAAATTTCATTTTTTTAAATGTAACATAAGTAGGGATGGAAGTATCGAGGATACCTATAAATATTTGCACTAAACCCACTTAAAATTTTAATACTCAAAACCTATTCCAAATATGTTTAAAATTTATGTTGAAATGTCTATACCCAAATCCATTTTAAATGTTAATACTTGCATCTATTTCATACCCAAATCCATTTTAAATAGGTTGAGACGGGTAGAGTATCCACAAAATCCACTTTGTTTATACGTAAAACATTTCACCAAATCCAATATACATAAAATAAAACAAGTGAAATTCACAAAAAAAAAAAATTAAATAAATTTCAGATTCATAAATATCAAATTTTGTAAATGAACGGGTTGGGACACGTAGGATACGCTGAAAACTCGTCCCGACCCTGAACTCAATATACGCTAAAATTTTTACTTGAAATATCTTATTATTAAATACTTTTAAATTATATAATGAGTTTTGATGGATAATGGGCAGCGGAGTTCTAAATCCACACTTGACCCACACCTACATTGAATAATTAATTTAATATTCATATCTATTTCAAACTAATTTAATTAATATTTATACTTGTTTTAAATACATTGTTACAGGTCGAGCACATGCGAAAACTCGTATCACTTCCATCCCTAGCTATATAACAAGTTTGAATCATTCCCTTGAGCTACCGCTGCAGAACAATCGGGTTCAAATATAAATGTCAATTATTAAGGGCTCTTTTTTTATTTTTTATCTTTTATTTATCAAACATGGGCCCTATTCGGTAGTAACGGTTGAAGTAGTATTTAGTGTTTTGATAGAGTTGAAATACTATCTTAATGAATTATAGTGTTCGTTAATACAATATCTATTCTATCATTTAGAGTTTGAGACGGTGATTTATAAAAGGTAATCTTCATTAACGTTTAGTATTTTGTAATTTTTTATGACACCTATATCTGTTACTTATCTTTTGTTACTTGCTTTCATATTATTTTTTGTCATTTTATATAAAACAGCTAATCAAACAGTTATTTGTATCGAACACTCTTGTTCTAGACCGCTATATAATCGTTAACCACTAACAGCTAATATTTAATAGCTAACCACTAGTAAAACAACTGACAGCTATTAAAACAACTAACAGCTATTAGAATAGCTAAATTTGCCGAATAGACCCATGATACCATTCAAACATAAATATCTCGTACTATTTCTTTTTCTTTTAAAAAAAAAATTCATCCAAACAAAAGCTAAGAAGTTATTTATTTAGGCTAAATTCTAGATGTTAAATTTGAATTTATTATCTTTTTGAGCAGAATAATTAAGAAGTGGTGTAAGAACTAAATACTGAATGATTAAAAAGTACTCCTTCTGTCCCAAACCATATATCTTTTTCGGGTGATTATTTTGTCCTAAAATATAAGTCGTTTTGAGTATTTGAAGGAGTAATAAATGATGTTTTTCTAATGTTACCGTTATTTACATCAGATACAATAAATAATTTCACAAGTTACTATTGCTTTTTAGATAAAGGATGATTTGATCAAGTTACCCTTACTTTTGTAATAATCTAGGAGAATTAACTGTTTCTTTCATTTTTGTATAAAAATCTTAAACGATTTATATTTTGGACAGAGGAAGCAATGTGTAGTTCTCCCTCCTTTATTTTTATATAAGAACAACTAATTTTTCACTAAGATTAAGAAAATAGTTTAACCAACTTTTTTATCATTTTTTCCTAATTTACCCATAATATCTCATTTATTCCTCCTCTAATATCAATGTATATCTTAATTATGTTTCAATTTTCAATGAGACTTTAAATGTTTTGTTGGAATGAAGAGAATACAAACAATGCAAAAATAAACTTATGCTCTGATATGTGGAGAAATTCATTTTTTTTCTCTATTTGGAAAAGTTGTGTGGAAATATGAAAATTTGTATTCATTTAACCTTTCAACTGCCTTTGGTTATTGAAAACCTACTTTAAATATTGTGCAATTTTTTAAATACTCAGATGAAGTCCCTAAGAATTTCTATCAATGTGGTCAACTTGAAAATTGTGGTCATTTTCTATTCAAACTCCATTTTAATTAGTGCTCGTATAACTTATATAAGCATTTTTTTTTTTTTTGCAATGGGAATTTATGTAAACAAGTATATTATCCAAAATTTATTCACATTAAATGCTCATATATACATTTATCTTCCACTAACTTGAGAATCTCTCATACTAAAAAGCTTTACAAAGGACTAAAATAATGATAAGATAGACTTTTCATATTAGTATGGTTCTCAAAGTGTTGCCTATTTGTTGTCAATTTTTCCTTATTTTACGACAATGTGCAGGGTTAATTCAAAAATAGTTTGAATAAGTCTTGTTTTTTTTTTTTTCTATTTATGAAATTTATTAGAGATATTATTGATGTGAAAATCCTAGTCTTATGAAACTAAATAGCATAAATTTAACCATGAACTTTAATAGATAATTTTTTATGGCCGCTAAATTTTGCAATTCGATGATGACTATGCACTTTCACATTTCAGTGATAACTATGTTTAATGTGACCCTAGCCAATTAACAAGTACTCTTGCAAATTAACAAGGAGAACTTAGCGGAAAGCATGCAATCACGGAAGTACTCGTCAATTCCTAAAACCCCCAAGTACTCTTGAAGAAAGAAAGAAAGGAATTTAAACAAGAAACAGAAACTTACCTTCAAGTACTCTTGAAAATAACTCTGAAATTCTTGGCGCAATTAATCTTGTAGAAGTCACAATTTTAATTACTAAGGTTAATTTGGTTGCGTTCATACAATGATGAAGAACACGGTCTGTTCTTTGAAAGAATAAAGAAAAATGTTTTGTTTGATTAATCTTTATGCTGGCTGCGGTGCAACTCTTACAAAATAAAATAATATAAATACCCTAAGCTAAACCTAATTTAGCTACTAGCTTAAGCTCATCCAGGCCTAAAACTAATATGGTCCAAATGGGCTTAATTAAATACAAGTCCAAACTAACTAATTAAAACAAGTCTGACTTAAACATTAACTAATCTAGGGCTGGCCCAACTCTAGAAAATAAGCCCAACTAGCCTTATACTAACTAATTAAGTCCACTAAAAGAATTTAAACAACAAAACAGGACCAAGGTGACCAAGAGGCCTACACAGCGCATTCCTTAAGCTCCATAATGAAAACATCCTCTAAGTTTGCCTAAATATAGAAGCATGTAAATGCATTCAATGGGCAGCCTTTTGCACGCCCTTAATCACCAATAACAAACTCTTTGGTGCTTCTCCAAGTTCAATCTCACATCTTGCATAACTATGATCTTGAAGCTCCAATGGATTTGTTCTTGAACAAATGCATTCAAGGCTGCTCGTAACTTGGTTGTACGAGCTCTTGTGATTGGCCCGGCAGGTATAGCTAGAGGATCCTTCATCTTGCTCCCTTGATCTGTATCAATGTTGTTTGCCAAAATGAAATGTAAAAGTCCATATTCATAACGATTGAACTTATTCATTTCGACGAGAGGCATAGTTATTACTGAAATGTGAAAAATCCAGAATCATAATAGGTCTCCCGCGAAGTTTGAGGCTACATGGATAATCGCAAATTACATGGCCAAATATATGCATTTTAAGCTGTGTTAAATAGGAATGTTCAGTTAGAGTCGACTTGGTTTATGAAATTCGGATACAATAAGGCTGTATATAAGTCCAATTTTTTTCCAAATTCAAAAAATAAAAGAATCTGGAATTGTCAAAAATTATTGCAGTAAGCATTTAACTCTTGCTAATCAAATTAATTGATGAAGAATTACTCATAAAATAATTGTTGACAAGATTCTTATAAGTTTACTTGAAAATGTTTA